CATAATTTATATCTTGTATCTCTTTTGGGAATCAGTTGTGACTATTCCTTTTTTGTTTCTCGATGGAGATTATTAGAGATTTCTCTTTTCTGTTTTTTGTTAGCTTAGCCAGTGGTGTGTCATTTGTTTATTTTTTCAAAGAACCAAGTTTTTGTTTGTTAAATCTCCTGAATAGGCTTCCCTATTTTCATTTCATTTGTTCTGATTTAATCTTGGTTGATTTCACTTCTTCTGCTGTTTGGGGTGGTCTTGTTCTCTTTTTCCAGCTCTTTGAGTTGTTCATTAGATTGTCTATTTGTGATCTTTATTGACTATTTTGGTTATAGGCATTATATGTTTTTGAGATAAACTTTCCTCAGAACTGCATTCATAGCTGTGTCCAGAAGGAGTTTGACTGCTTGTCTCTTCCATGGTCATTCTTCCTAGATTTTTTTTATTTCCATCTTGATTTCATCATTATGAAGAAAAAAAATGTGAATCATTTAGTAGGAGGGTGTTTAATTTCCCGTCTTTTGCATAGAAATGTGAGTTTCTGTTACGGGTTGGATTTCAATTTTATTCCACTTGATCTGATAAGATACATGGGTATGATTTCTTTTTTTAAATTTCTTTGAGTTTCTTTGCTTCCTAGGATATGGTCAATTCTTAGAGAACTGGATCCGTTGCTTGAGAGAAGACGTGATATTCAGTGGATTTTGGGTTAGAATGTTCTGGTGAATGTCAGTCAGGACCCTTTCGTTCTAGGTTTTTACCATTATTCTTTATTATTTTCTTTTGGAGGATCTGTCTCGTGCCGTCAGGGGGTGTGTGAAATGTCTGGTTATTATGGAGTTGCTATTAATCCATTTGCTTAGCTCCAGTAAGGTTTGCTTTCATGAATCTGGGTGCACCTAAGTTGGTGCATTATATATTTAAATTGTTATCTCTTATTGTTGAACTGTGCCCTTCACCATTACATAATGACCTCTTGTCTTTCACTACTTTGGTTGGTTTAAAACTAAATCGTCTTGAAATTAGAAACTGGCCCACACCAGCCTTCTTTTGGCTTCTATGTTGCTTGAATATGCATCTCCACCCTTTTTATTTTTTAGATCTTATGCATCCTTGCAGGTTAGATGTCGTTTCCTGAATAAAGACATATTACTTCAGGCCTGTATCTTTTTATCCATTCAGCCACGCCTACTGCTCTTAGATTGGGAGAGTTTAAGCCCATTCACATTTACTTGGAGCGAAACTGATTAGGTAAGGTAGATTACGTGTTCTTCTGTTGCGTGTGGGATGTTGATTGTATGATTTCTGTCTTGGGCCATTATATATCTGGCCTTACTATCTTTTGGGTTTGGTGTTTTTATATTCGTGGGTTATTATTATGATGTTCGTGCGTACGCTGTTTTAAGTACTTCTTGTAGGGCTGGTCTTGTCTTGGTGAATTCTCTGAGCCTTTGCTTGCCTGAGAATGTCTTCATTTCTCCTTCATATACGAAGCTTAGGTTTTGCAGGAATAAGATTCTAGGCTGGGCATTGTTTGTTTCAAAAGAGGTGAGAATGTGGCCCCAGTCTCTCCATTGCTTGTAAAGTCTCATTAGAGAAGTCTGGTGTTATTCGAATTGGCTTTCCCTTGTATGTTACTTGCTTCTTTATCTTAAGCTCTTAAAGGCCTCTCTTTAGTTGATACATTGTCAGTCTGATGACTGCATGTCGTGATGTCTTCCTGTGTCTTCCTGTTTGCATTGAATCTCCCAGGGGCCCTCTGAGCTTCTTGAACTTGTATATCAAGATTTTGAGCAAAGCCTGGGAAATTGTCCTCTATTAAATCTTCAAACAGCTTGTCCAACCCTTGAGTGTTATCTTCTTCCCCTTCTGGTAACCCTATGAACCTCACGTTAGGTTTCTTCACATAATCCCTCAGCTCTTATAGGCTTTGCTCTTTTCTCTTGTTTCTCTGCTCTATTTCTGTGACTGATTTATTTAATTGGAGGGTGTTATCTTCAAGCTCTGAGATTCTTTCTTCTGTTTGATCTACCCTGTTCTTGAGACTTTCCACTGTATTTTGTAGTTCCTTGAATTGATTCTTCATTTCCAGGAATTCGGTTAAACTTTTCTTCATTGTGTTCATTTCTTTTTCCATATCCTGGAGGTTTTTTGTGGTTTCTTTGTGTTGGTTTTTGAGTTGTTGTTGCAGCTCGGTGAGTGTTCTTATGATCCACAGACGAAATTCCTCTTCTGTCATTTTGGTTGCCTGATTTTGGTTGGTGCCCGTTTCTAGGGGGCTTGGGCTCCTCTTTGGCGGAGAGTTTTCCGTTTGGTTCTTCATATTTCCTGAGTTCCTTCGCTTATTTCTTCCCATATCTATCAGTTGTTGTTTCTTTTCTTTAGGTTTTTGTTTGGGTATTCACATGCCTTGTTTAGTTTCTGAGCCGGAAGGTGATGTCTGTGGGTGAGATTTGTCCACTCCCTGTCCTGATAAGGGTGTGTAGGATGCTCTCCCTGTCAGTAGGTGGCGCTTGTTTGGAGGAACAGGCTACGCTGTTGTTTTTATGCCCTGTTATCAGTTCTTGTTCCTGTAGAGAGAACTCTAGTGCCTCAGGTGGTGGGGCCTCAGTCCCAGGGTGGAGCCCTGGGACTTCCAGGTGTGTCCTTTTATTCCCTTCAGTGAGGGCTAGTTTAGGAGAGAGTCTGGGCAGAGCTGGGTTGGGTAAGCCTGCCCTCAGGCAACACCAATGTCGTTAGCAGGGGTCAAAGTTCTGTTCTCTGCTTCCAGGCAAAGCTTTCAGGTCGGGGCTGGAATGGCCTGGCTCAGTCAGAGAGTCTGCGTGTGGGGATGGGGCTGTCTGAGACTCGCAGTCTGGAGTGGGCCTGGCTTCTTTCCACCCTCCCCAACTCCACAGCTACTGCTGAGCCTCTGCCCGCAGGCCAGACCACACGCCACCACTCGTCCCCTGGCTGTGCTACCTGCGGGGAAGTTCCCTACGTGGGAACGCCACCTGGGCTGGGTGCAGGGCCTCCCTTTGGGGGGAGGGTTGCCTTCTAGGACGCTGATCTGCCCCTGAAGGCACACGTACCGCAGTAGGCTGTTCACAAATATCCCTTCTGTGCCCCAGGCAATGTGAGGCCTCCGTGCACAGGATGTGGTCTGCAGGTCTGACCTCTGGGTCCCAGAGTTCAAACTATATCCCCACCAGGGAGAGCAGTGCCAGTCCCAATTCACCCACAGGGAGCCCAATCTGCATCTATGTCTCTCAACCTCAGAGTCTGCCCCGTTCTCCTGGGATCACCGTGCCAGCAGCACCTGGGAGGGCTGGCAGGTAGGGAGCTCACAGTGTGAGTTTCCCTTAGTCAGCTGTAGTGCCCCAAAAGGGAAGGTCCCGTTCCCTGTAGGTGCCTCCGGCTGGTGGCTATATTGTCTCTCTGTCTGTCTGGGCAGCCGCAGGTAGGGTCGGGGGAGAGGAGGAGGAGGCAATATGGCGTCTGCTGCACGGCTCGGGTCTGTGCACACTGAGGTGCCCCGAGGGAGTTGGGAGCCCAGTGCCGCGTCCACCACTGGCTTACCGCTCACTGGCAGCGGCCGTCACTGGGCTGGTGTCCGCAGGTCTCTCCACTCGCTGGGGAGCCCACCAGCACTCCGGGATGCAGGGGAGGGGAAACGGCCGATACTTCCCGCTGGTCTCTGGGCTGCTCCGGCGGTCTCAGCTTCCAGTTCTCCTTCGTGACCTCCTCCCGTGGTCTCAGGTACCCCTCCTTCCGACCCTCATCTGATGTAGGCTCGTCTTCTTGCTTCTTTTTTCTGATTTCTGCTAGAATCTATCTTTTCTGCAGAGACACTCTGTCTGGCGGTGTTTCTCATCCGCCATCTTTTTCCTGTCATATATCATTCTGGAGGCGGGAAGTCCAAGATCAAGACACCAGTAGTTTGGTGTGTGGTGTAGGCCCATTCCTCATAGTGTCTTCTATGTGTAGTTTGTAGGCTATATATCCATGATCCAGGTGCTGGCAGAGTTGGTTTCTGGTGAGGGCTTTGTTTTTTCAACTTTTTTTGATGAATATTCGGTTTTGGACTGTCTTTCAGCACTTCATCTTTATCCAACCATTGTGCTGAATGCTTGCGATTGTCCTAAAGAATCCATTTATCATCACACCTAACAACATGGTGTGGAAATGATTCTGTTTTATGTTGGGACAGCAAAGAAAGGCAAGCTTTGAGATGATTTCTCTTCTGATGCTCTTTTAACGCATGTGGTACCCATCTATCTAGCTCTTGACCATAACAATTTGTTTCAAATGGTCCAATATTGTTGGATGAGTAACACCAAATCTTGCTGCTAATTCATGCATAAGTTGAGATGGATTTGCTTCCTCTAAAGCTTTCAGCTCATCATTATCCACCTTGGTCTCAGGTCACCCACATGGCTCGTTTTCAAGATTAAACTACCTAGAACAGAACTTCTCAAAACATTGATGTACTGCGTGTTCATTAGCCTCTGGGTCCCAGAGTTCAAACTATATCCCCACCAGGGAGAGCAGTGCCAGTCCCAATTCACCCACAGGGAGCCCAATCTGCATCTATGTCTCTCAACCTCAGAGTCTGCCCCGTTCTCCTGGGATCACCGTGCCAGCAGCACCTGGGAGGGCTGGCAGGTAGGGAGCTCACAGTGTGAGTTTCCCTTAGTCAGCTGTAGTGCCCCAAAAGGGAAGGTCCCGTTCCCATCCTTCCCAAATACTTCATTGATATTTTGAGCTGTCTGTGCAGCATTAGTTCCATAATGGCACACATATTTGAAAATAACATGAATTTTTCCTTATCCATGGTTTCACAAAAACTGCTCTAACAAGAACTTTGAAAGATAATCACAAGCCAAACTGTTCATCTGAAAGGAGGATGTGTCCTAAAAGCTCTCTCTCTCTAGCCGATGGGCTGTGTGTCGTTTAGTAGTGACTTGCTAGTTCCGCCCCTGGGGGTGGGGACAAAAGCTTATATAAGCTGTTTCTTTCCCCTTCAGTGTTTCCGCTGTGGCTGACCAGTCTCGCAGGAAGCCAGCTATGGGTCCCTGCTCAGAGGACCACCCGCTTTGCTGGGCCTCCAGTTTCCTGCTGTTTATCAGCCTCCTCCTCAGTGAGTAGCCCAGGGTCCCCGGAAGGCAGAGCAATTGTGTGGGGCTGGGATAGCTGGGCCCCTGACCACTGGCAGGGCTGTTCTGGTTCTGATGTCTTCGGGGAAGACAAAAAGAAAACCACGCTGTTAAAATTTGCAAATGCAGCATATTAGGTTAGAGCCCATGGTAAACAGAAAGAATAAAATGGCCTTTGGGTGGTGATCAGGCTGGGATCCCTGAGCTTGGGCAGCCTTGGCTGCATTAAGGGGACCTTAACCTGGAAGGTGAGGCAACTTCTGTTGCATTAGCAGACAAACGCAGAGATCCAGGAACTGCCTAGAAAGAGGGATGCGGAGGGATAAAATAGCTGCCTCCTGGGGGTATAGGGTTGAGACAGTGTACTCCTGGCCTGGAACTCAGTGATGTCCTGACAGTCTCTGCACTGTCCTGTCAAGGAGGGGACAGAACTAGAACCCCAGTGTCTGAGCTGTAAGAAGCCTCTCTGGTCTGGGCTGCTTGAGCTCCACTGGAAAGGAGAGTGGAGGTGCACTCCTCTGCTCCCAGGTTTATCTTAAAAGTGCTTGTGTAATTGGCATTAGTTCCATCTGAAAATGTTAAAAAGGATTTGCCATCTCAGGTACAATGAGTCCTATAGACTATGCCCTTTCTCATCCCTGTGAGTGGCCTTTCCTCCACCCTGAAATGCTGCTCAGGCTCTGGAGGCCTCAGATGAACCCATGTCCATCACAGCCCTGTTCTGGGGAAAAACCCCGGGAAAAAAGCGGAGGTGCCCAGCAATCGGGAGTGATGGAAGACATTGAGAGTATGCGTACCATGGAGTATTATGGAGGCCTAAAAATGTGAATGTCCCAGTTGTCTGGGAGGAATTTTCAGTTTTCATGAAGTTAAATGCATGAATCAGCAAGATTTAGGAAGCTAAATACAACGAAATCTTTGTTTTATACAAGGAAAGCAGCCTCCAAAATTTAAGGGTGTCTATGCATCGACCTGTTTCTAAGAATATGCTAAAGACATTTGCTACACTGGGGTAGAAGAGGGCATGAAATTGGGGAGGAAAAAAATGGAGAGGAAGAAAGTAGAAAGACCTGATGCAGGCTGTATATCATACTCATTGCTTTATGAAATATTGTATGTTTATACAAACAATGACCTTAAATAAAAGCCAATGAAAAATAATTCCTAGTAAATATGAATTTTTATGAAAGCTTTTATTGCTAATATATTTTTTAAATATTTCAGCCACTGATTGAACTTGTAGGGAAGTATGTGAAATCTAATGGATTAGAAAACACTTCTAATACAGGACTTATTGAAGCAAAGATGAGCTTTGCAATAGCAATGGGTTAGATCCTGTTTAAATAGGTAACTTTTTGACGACAGCAAAATGTAGGCTTTCTCCATTTCCACAATGTTGTTAACTTGGAGAAATACATTCAATTGTATAGAGTTTTCTGTGTAGGAACTTGGGCTGGAGGAAAAAAGAAAAGAAAGAAAGATAGTAAGGGAGGGAGGAAAGAAAGAAGGAAGGAAATAAAAAAGGACTTAAAATTCCTAATTTGAGGGATCGGCTGTCTGTGTCCAGAAAACGAAAGTAATTCTCTGGAGGTCACACAGGAAGTGGGGAGGAGTGAATTTGGTTTTCCCGTCAGGCCTGCCCTCCCTGGTAGTCAATGAGACAGACCCTAGCAGTGGAGTTTGGACAGAGCCCGCCCTCAGAAGGAACATCTCCCAGAAACTACTCTATAGCAATTCATGGAGCTCCACAGTTGGATGCATTTCTTCTTTGGTTTTGGTTTGTCCCCTGCTCAAGTCCAGCCTTGACTTGGGGAGGGATGGGTGAAGAAGGAGTGATGGTGAGGGAGGTAATGAAGAATTTGTCGTTATTGGCTCACTCCTGTAATCCTAGCATTCTGGGAGGCCAAGGCAGGAAGATCACTCAAAGTCGGGAGTTCCAAACCAGCCTGAGCAAGAGTGAGACCCTGTCTTTACTAAACATAGAAAGAAATTAATTGCCCAATTAAAAATATATAGAAAAAATTAGCCGGGCATGGTGGCTCATGCCTGTAGTCCCAGCTACTCGGGAGGCTGAGGCAGGAGGATCGCTTGAGCCCAGGAGTAGGTGGATGCTGTGAGCTAGGCTGAAGCCGCGGCAGTCTAGCCGGGCAACAGAGTGAGACTCTGTATTAAAAAAAAAAAAAAGAATTTGTCCGTATCATTCTTAGAACCTGAACCCTTCCTGGATGTGTGCTTGGAAGGTGAACGTGAAGGGCAGGTCGGGCCTGAGGGTGGCTCAGCGCACACTGCACTTTCCCAGAAATGCAGGCAGCACCAGTGAGGGTGGCCCCCACTGTGGGGACTGGTCAGCCTGACCATGACAGCATTTCCTGAGCGCCCACCCAGTGGCTGCTGGCGGGGAGCTGGAGAAGAAAGGGTCTGCATGTGGCTGCAGGGACGTGGGGCCAGTGGAGACAGCACCAAGACACGGAGTTTGGGTGTCACACAGGGGTTGAGAGGGCATTGCTGTTGGTTTGTGAGTGTGGCGATGGGGTGTGTGTCAGACAAATGAAAGAAACTTTATGTTGATGACAAGTGTTAAATTTTATGGGATTTAAATGGATTTTTGTATAATGAATGACCACGTGCTCCCTGGCTTGTTTTTTCCTCTTCTTCAGGATTAGCAGTTCTGTAGACCAGAGAGCTCCTGTGCCTCCCTTCCCTCTTCTTTATCTTCCTTGCAGCTATGCTCCCCGCCCACCTGCTGGGCGGATCCCCTGGCAGCCTGAGGGCTGAGCCCCCTGTCCCTGGTTCCCTCTTCCAGGAACTGGGGAGTGGGCCAGGCTGGCTTTAACCCTTAGCTAGCCAGAAGCCCTGCTCAGCTAAGCCTCTCAAAGTACTTGCTTCCCCTTCCCAGGAGAGGGAAGTTGAGTTTGAAACTCCAGCAGCTGCTGGGTCCCTGGTGGGATCAGACTACAGGCCAGGGAGGGGTGAGCTGGGGAGGGTGGGAGGGGCTGAGCTGGGGAGGGTGGGGGGGATGGCAGTGCTCCCAGGCCCCACTGTGCAGGGCAGGCCCTGGGCTGGGAGAGGAAAATGGGCTCCAGGTGTGGCTCTTCCCTGTGTAGGCCAGGAAAACTCCAGCCCCTGGGCTTCCCCCTCCTCTGTAAAAGGAGGGTCTTGGGCAGGTCATGTCTGAGGGCCCTCCCCACTGTGACATTCTGGAATTCAGTGACTCTGCCCAGACAGGACTCTCCTGTGGCTAAGGGAAGGCCTCTGCTCTGTGTCTCCCATGGTATCCTGGCCCATTCCTGTGTCCCAACAGGGACTGAGAGCCGGTGAGCCTGTTTAGGGCTCCCTCAGACACAAGACCCTGGGCAGTCCCCATGGCCACTTCCTCAGCCCTTTGTGGAGGAAGGGGATCCTCCTCTTCCAGCCTTCTCCACCTGACCCTCATGTGTCTCTGCCTCTGCTTCTGAGAGGGGTGTGGGGGCCACTGCCCACAGACCGCGTGCTAAGGAACAACATCACCCTCCCACAGAGTGTGCAATGTGGGTGCAGACCACACTCAGGAAGGCAGCTGCAGCTGGGCTTTTAGAGGCAGCTAGTAAAAGCCTCAGCCAGACCTTTTCAGTTCCTGTCTGTTTAGCAGAAAGCAGTAGTTTATTTCTCGAGGACCCTTCCTACAGTGCTTGCGGGGAGAAAGACAAACACGGTTTTCGACAGAATTGTGTGTGAAAATGCCTTCGGAAGGTTTCCCCTTTGGAAAGTGAAACAGTGTCCTAGCAAGTCCCGTTGTCATGTCTTTCCTCCTGGAAATAACAACTGTTTTCTTGGGCCCTACATTAAATGGAGCACTTACGTTTGGTGCCCATTGTACCAAGAATTATATATTTGAACATGTAATTAACTCTGAATAGCATGGCTGACTGAGATGTTAAAGGACACTTGTATTTTGCTCACGAATTAGTGAGGGAACCAGTAGGATGTCACAAGTGGCTCACAGGGGGGAATGGAAGAAGGCCAGCAGGAATGCCAATGTGGTTACCAATAGATGCCCTGCGTTCACGCGGGTGTGTGGTATCTGTGGGTACGGAGATGCATGTCTAGAGGGAACACGGCATTTCCATGCTTTCCTGTGGGATGAGGCACACTTTGACCTTTCCCTTGAAGCAGCTCCATGTCCTGTAGAATAGTTTTCAATATAACATATTTATTTAATAAATAGTATTTATTAAATATTATTTTTTAATATATTACAACACAGCCTATTAAGGAAAGGGGAAAATGAACAAAGCAAATAGAGTTAGTAATACATAATTTATTAAGGCCAAGCTTGGGCAAAGAAGTGTTCTTCCCTTGCCTTTATCTTTACCAATCCCCCGGCTACACAGATGTCCTCAGCTCCTTGGTAACAGGGCAGTGGATGACAGCTGTGTGCGGACACAGACAAATGGATTTCCTTTTACCCTCGGGGCTTTCGTAAACAGAAACTGGATCCTGACGCTCTGCAGCAAAATATGGAAGTCAACCTACAGATATTTCACTCCCTGGAACCCCTCCTGTTCCCAGGAAGGGACCCCTGAGAGGGACAGCTGTGGGGGAAGAAAGGACACCAGCCTGGGAACTGGGAACGTCTGGTTCTGTCACAGGCGTGCTTGGGCACATGACGCTCATCATGATAATGACAGTATCTGATATTAATAGAAACCATTATTGAATCCTGTGCTGAAAACTTTTCTCTATTCAGGTCCAAAGAATAGTCCAATGAGCACTGTTATTATTTCCATTTCCCAGATGAGAAAGCTGAAGCCAGAGAGGTTAAATAACTGCTCAAGTTCACATGGCCAGAAAGTGAAGACCCTGGACTTATATGTCACTGGTTCTAAAGTTCAATCTTTTGACCACTCTGTCATACTATCCAACTATGTCATCTAGCTGACTGCAAGGTAAATTTCAGGTGGATCTGTGAGTAAATATGAAAATTAAAGTCATAAATGTACTAGAAAACAGAGAGAATTAAAAACCTACTTTTTGATACATGCAGCTCAACCAGGGAAGATTAAATTAGTGAATATGATTAGAAGATTGTTCGTAATATGTTAAAAGATTAAAGAGCAGGTACAAAATAGCATGTATGAATCACCCCATAGAAAAATGGCTAAATAAGCATGCATTAAACATTTTAGTGGTTATGTTTGAGGGGTAGCTTTTTATTAACTTCCTTTTGTTTTTCTGTTGCTTCCAAATTTTCTGCATGAGCTGAAAGGGGGTCTCTGCTGCAGTCCCTGCAGCTTTGGCCACTTCTGGCCTGAGCCCACTATCTGCACAAGACCTTGGAGACAGATGGCCTATTCCCTGCAGCTTCAACACCAGGCTGGAACCCCTTCTCCCTGCAGCCTCTACTCAGTGGGTGTCACCTGTCCCCATACCCCAGCCAGCATATCATGTTAGAATGTGTTAGACTGGACTGCTGCCCACTGAGTCACTGGGAATCCTGAAACAAGATCCCGTGGGAGCACTAAAGCAGGAGCTGCAGCTGGGAGAGGGAGAGCTTCTGTCCTTGTGGCTACTGACTATTGGGCATGGTGTCCTGGGGACATGATGGACCTCTGCTTTGTGACCTGGCATGTTTAGAGGTGCCTGGCAGCACAGCCTCATCTAGCTCCCCTCAGTGACCTTTTGTGGGCTGGGAGTCCATGTTGCCCTGCGGACAGCGTGGTGCCTGTGGCAGATCTCCTGGACTGGGTGTCAGGGGTAGGGCATGTGGGAGGAGGGGCTAGGAGGGGCTGGAGGAGACAGAAGTGGCTGGGGACTGAATACCTGCTGCTTCTCCTGGATGGCCCCGGGCAGGACTGGGCGGAGCACTGGCCCCCCGACTCACTGATGTGGGTCCTGAAGGCCTGTGGCCTCAGCACTGGGGTGCCAAGGTTGGGGTCCCATGAGGGAGCTGAGGGGAGGGGTGAAGGCCTGGCTGGGAGGAGGGGCCTGGTGGCCTGAGTCAGTGAATAAGTAGAAGCAAAGAAATATCTGGAATACTTCCACATCTGAGCACTGGCATGAGCCAGTCTCTATTTCTGGTGAGAGCCAGGCGTGGGGCCTGATATGAGGCAGAATTGGTGATGTGGAGAGAACAGGGCGCCCTGCCAGGCGGCGGCAACCCAGGTAGATGCTGAGCTGCCAAGAGGAGGAGACTGTTCTTCCTTCAAGGACAAGTTAGCTCCACAGCATGTTGCCCTGGTCCATATCGGTCCTGCCTTGGTACCCAGGCAGGACAGAGGGTCCCCAGGTTCCCTGGGGCTGAGTCCCACGGATGCACAAGGGTCAGGAGGGGGCGGCACTTGGCAGTTGAGCCCACTGGTCTGGACTCTGCAGAGACAGCACCTGGGAAGCCTGACCAGGGGCCTCCTGGGGACTGGTTAGGGACGTGGTCTCTTGGTGACAGGGACACAGTATTTACCACACTGTCCACCTGCTCCCCCACAGTTTTAATCGCTGGCGGTTAGCAGGCTCTCTGTGACCAGTTCTGTCCAGAAATGATGCAGTGAAAACCCCACGTGGCCCCTTCCCTGTTGTGGGGGCAGAGCAGGGGGTCGGGATGCTGCGATTCCACGTGGTGCCCCAACGAGGTGGTGGAGGCCACAACCCTGTGGGACACAACCCCTATCACTATTTCTTAAGGGACCTGTAGGGTGAGTAATATACAAACTCCTTTTGTTCTGAGGCCCTGCATTGTGTGCTTGTCTGTTACCAACGACGGCCTAGCCTACCCTGACTGCGACACTTCCTAGCAGGAAGGGGAAGGCAATCACCCATCACTACTGCCTTAGTTACCTACTGCGTGACCTGCGACCCCAGGACTTAGTGCCCCAAATCAGCACCATGGTCTGTGTCACAGCTTCTGGTGGTTGGGATCCAGGCGTGGTGTACCTGGGTCCTGTGGCTCAGCGTCTTACATAAGTAATTCAAAGTATGGTCCCAGGTGGCCCCCAGTTCCCCGCCCTAAGGGCTTCTCCATAGAGCAGCTCACAGCATGGCAGTGAGCTTCCCTAGAGTGAGCAAGGCAGAAGTCACAGTCTTGCATAACTTGGTACCCCTAAGCAACACCCCTCAATTTGCTGTATTCTGTTCCTTGAAGCAGGTCACTAGGTGCACCCACACTCCAGGGGAGGGATTACACATTGATGTGCACAGGAGGGAGAGACCTTTGGGAGACACGTTAGAAGCTGCCTCTTACATTTATGCACTTAGCATGTGCGGGAAAATGTACTAGGTTCTTTTGATCTATGATCTCATTTAATTCATACTATCATTGTGGGACAGTAAGCAAACTGACAGGCAGTTTAGCCTATTCAAGGTAGTACTCCATGAGAACCAGACTTGATCCCAGAATTACTTCCAATTCATTATACTAGGCTGCCTTCCTAGAAGGAAGAATTTTGGATGGATTTGATTAGGAAGAAAAGTTCCGTGGTTCTCTTATTTGTTCTTGATGAGAAAACACTCCTGTTTCCGTTTCCCATGCCCAGGTGTCTGCCGTGCTGTGGCTGAGAGTTCTGGGGCACACGGCTCTGCGGTTAAGGACTCCGGAGCCCACGTTCCTCTGAAGGGGATCCGAGGAGGTTCTGTCTTGTTTGGTGTGACCCAGAAGGCAGGAGCAGTTCTGGAAACTGAGCTGGAGGAGCTCTGCTGGAGCTTTACCCCGGAGTCAGACTACAGAGTCATGTTTCGAATCCAGAGAGGCGTCCATTCTCCAACCTGGTTCAGCCTCCAGGACAAATTCAAGCAGAGGGTCCAGGTGCCCGACTTGGCCTTCCTGAAGATTGAGAACCTGAGCCTTGAGGACAGTGGGCATTACCGAGCTCAAGCCAGGTTAACGGAAGGAAGAGAAGTTTTGCAGTTTTTCCACCTTACTGTCTATGGTGAGTGACACCCCTCCCTCCAGCCCATGGCTTACCTGCTCCTTTGTCACATTGGCCCCATGTTTCAGGATTCCACTCAGACACAGTCTACAGCCTCTACCATCTTCTCTGAAAATAGGGAAGTGAGGACACCAGAGATGGAGTCCAGAGCTGAGATTGATACCAGGGAGAAAATCGCTTCAGTGGTTTGGGAAAGGAAATGGAAATCGGGTGAAATAGCCATTGTTCCAATAACGTCAATCATCTTTTCTAGGACTAATGTTACTTAATTTGTGTAGTAGTTTGACATTTTTTCTAGAACAAAATTACCATGAATTGGCAGCTTTGAACAACAAAAATGTACTGTGTCAGCATGCTGTAGGTGTGAAGTCTGGCACAGGTTGCACTGGGCTAAATCAAAGTGCTGGCAGGCTGTGTCCTCTCTGGAGGCTCCAGGGGAGAATCCATGTTATTGTTTTGTCACCAGCTAGTGGCTGTTCACCTCCCTTTGCCATGGCCACCTTCTTCCATCTTTGAAGCCAGGAGCGATGGGTCGAGTTGTTTTGGATCCTTTTCACCTCCTCTCCCTTCTTCTGTCACTTCTAAGGGTCCTTGTGATTACATTGGGCACATCCGGATAATTCAGAATAATGTCCCCATTTCAACGTTAGCTGATTAGCAAGGTCAATTCTATCTGCTACCTTAATTCCCTTTGCCATGTAACCTAACCTATTCCCAGGTTCCAGAGACTACAGTGCGGAAATATTTGGGGCCATTATTCTGCCTACCACAATTGGAGGTCCACACACATCAAGTCCTCCATGTTCCCTCTCCTCTCACCCACAGCCCCACACTCACTCAGCACTCTACAAACCCAGCTCTCAAAGCCTTGACAGGAATAGGACAATGTTCACATGCAACACTGTTTAGGACAGCTGCTTTCCCAAGATTTTCTGTCCCTGAAGTTCCTCTCTGCATAGGGAAGTATCCTGCTATGGAGACAGCCAGTTCTCAGCGTTAGGTCCCATGTGCTTTCTAAGACTGGCTAACGCAGCTGACTCTTCTCTTCCTGTCTGTACCTCAAGTTCAGTGACATGTTCTAAACAAGCTCAGAGATGTCATTTCTTGTCGCTGCCACTGCATCTCCCACCAGTGTGCCTGATTTCGGGAGCATGGGCTGTCTCTGGCCCCCCAGAGCTGGCCTGAAGTCCTGCCCCACAGGGCCGTGCAGTCCCAGGCATTGTCTCAGCTGGAGATGCAGGGGAAGGACCCTGGGTTAGGATAAGCACTTTTGCCCCAGACTTCTTCCCTTTCCAGAAATACCCCAATTTTTTCAAAACAATGGGCCTTGAGTAGGTGGAGTCCACCTTTGTTTGCTTTGGGAGATGTTTCCGACTTGTTCTGTCTAGTGACACCTCACAGGGCTGACTCAGGGCCTCCGTTTCTTATTGTCATCTGCTCAGTGCTTAGCTTTAGACAAACTGTGTGTTATCTGTAAAACACACCCACTTTCCCTACAGGGTGCATGCCATGGCATCTGTGAGAAAATGATTACAATGTACAATGATGTGTAATGTTCTTCACAAACGAGGCTGCTTTCATTGGCCCCTCCTGTTCCAGATCCTGTGCCCCATCCGCACATCCTGGCTCAGTCACCATCCATCGCAGCAGGCTGGTGCAACGTCACCCTGGAGTGCAGGGCCCCAGGGGCCACAAGGGACCTGAACGTGACCTGGGAGAGCAGGGGCCTCCCCTTGGAGCTGGAGCAGAGAGGGACACCAGGACCAGCCCTCGACTGCTGGACCTTGGTTGTGAGCTTGCCCCTGAGTCAGCCCAATGCCAGCTTCACCTGTGTGATCAGAAATCCTATGGACCAGAAAACTGTCACCAGAGATGTTGGGGACATCTGTGACCAAGGTGAGTGGGAAGGGACATCTGGAGTTCAAGCAGCTACTTAGCCTGAGAGTCTGGCCTTTTCTTCCTGCCATGTGTATTAGTATCACTGTCCCCCTGGTCACCCACTCAGAAGCCTGGGAGTCCCAGTGACCTCGCTTCTAACTTTGACCATCTCTCCCATCCATGCCCTCCTCTCCCAACCACCCACCATGTCCCTGCTGGTCCAGGCCGCAGCCTTTCCGTGGCTCTCCCACCCCATATGTCCTCCCCCAGACTTCCAGAGTAAATTTTGGGGAAAGCAGATGGGATTGTGTCATTGTCTGTGTCCTCTTTGGGAACCTGATTCCAGCCACCCACTGTAGGATTCTGATCTTAGATATTCCTCCACCCAGGTAGGTGCTGGCTTCACCTACATGCTTCACACCAAAGCACTGGCTGTAGTTCCTTGAGTGTGTCCTGCCATTGCAAGATTCTGAGCTCCTGGACATGCTGTGTCCTCTCCAATCAGCCGTCCCGAGTACCATGTGCTTCCCTTCCTGTCTTACTGCTACTGAAGGATTCCCCTGAGGCAGGCAGGCTTCGTGGGGTGAAGTCTGGGTAGTGGCACAGGGCCCCACACTTAAAGGTCTTGGTTTAAAATTCTGCTGTTATTCAGTTTGAACAAGGGTCCCTGTTTTCCTTTTGCACAGGGCCTGCAAGTGATGTAGCCTGTCCTGCCCTCAGGCACCACCTCCTTAGGGAGCTGTCCGTGGCCTCCCCACACTGAGCAGTGATGATGGGTTTGTGTCTTTGTCTCCTCTGTAGACTGGACAACCTTGAGGGCAAGGCCATGTCTTGTTTTCCTTTGACTCCCTGTGCCAAGCCAGCTTCTGGCAAAGCTTGCTCACAGCCAGTGTTCCTGGAATGAATGAATGACCGGGACCCTGTGTGCAGCCCTGTCTTCCCTTTCTCCAGGAGCAGCTGGAGGGTCCGGTGTGTCAGTGCCACTCAAACTGCCTGTGACCTTCTCTCCTGACCCCATCCTGAGTCTCAGCTAACACTTAGCATGGCCACCAGGTCCTCTGGGCACAGACTCTTACCTCCTTTGACCCTCCTCCCTGCCTGCCCCTGCCCTGCCACAGTGGTGGTGCTGGCGACTCCCAGGGCTGATGTTTGACACAGCCATTCCCTGAAGATGGTGCTCCTCATTCCTGCAGTGACCTCCTCTGAATATCTGGAAACTCCTACTCCTCCCTTAAGACTCAGTCTACCCACACCTCCTCTGGGAGGCCCTGCAGAAGCCCTAGCACAAGGTATAAACCTCTCGTGCAGTAAGGTTCTTCTGTGTGGCAGTTGATATATTCTTAGTCTTCCCTCCTGGGTGATGGGCTACTTATGGGAATGGACATCCTCTTGTTGATCTCAGTATCCTTGGGACTAGCAGCAGCTCAGTGTCTGGTTGAATGAGTGGACCTGCCGTGATCCTCCCTCTTCAGCCTCTGCACCAGACCCCTTTTCCCCTCCACCCGATTCCTCCCTGTGTATCCCCGTGGAAACGGGTATCTCAAATTCTCTATGCCTTACTCTTGTTCATTCTTTGTATGAGGAAAACAGATTCACATGGACGGGACATGGCTAGACTGCTGCCACTCATCCTAGGGCCTATTGTGGTTTTGATGTTGATCCTGGGAGCTACATCATACCGTTGGAAGACACATGGGAAGAAGAAGAAGATGGAACCAGAACAAGGCAGGTTGCACTTCACCTTCCAGACCCAGATGCCTCCCCTCCTCTTCTAGAATTTGGTCCCCTTTCTCCTGACTGTGGCTTCCAGGGAGTCTCCTGCAGATGGGATGGTGCGTGTGGCCATGGCTTTGTCCTTCAGGCAGGGGGAGAGATACAGGTGTCCAAGGTACAGATTTAAGGATTGTCTGTGTGTGGCTCAGGTTACCGGTTGCAGAAGGACCAGAGAGTTGAGGATGGTGGCATCAGCTATGAAGAGCTGATGAGGCCGACGTTTCAGGTGGGTAAGAACAAGGTGAGGGCTGGGGCCACTGGCCATCCAGGGCACTCCCAGGTCCCTCACTGCCCAGTCCTGGGCTTCCAAACCCAGGCATCTGCCCCTTCTGGCTCTGCTGCCTGTTCATGTGTTTCTGGACAATCGACACCATTTACTAACAAAGATTTGTAACTGGTGTCAATGCAAAGCTTTGCACTTTGGGGAATTTCATAAGAAGAGCATGTCAGTGGGCACTGGCTCTGCAGGTCCTTTTGGGGCCCTTTTATCTCTCAGCTGCCCCAGGACCCCTCTGTCTTGCATTCCAGGGCATCAGTGAACTACATGTGGAAGAAAAGGTTCCTGTGACTGCTGTCTACAGTGAGGTCCATAACTCAGGCCGGGCCATGAATATCATTTAATGGGAGGAAGCAGGAGGATCGGCACCACCGGGACACGTGTGCTCTGAGCCTGAAGCCTGCAGACACCTGCCTCTGCCAGCTGCAGTTCGGCTCCAGCTGCCTCTATGTTAGCCTGACTTTGCAGCCAAAAGCTCTACGGGTACTCATGGGTGTTTACGTTCTGTGACACCTCCTCAAGCTGTCCTGATACTCAGGATTCTCACCCCTGCCAGCTGAGGGTTCATGCTCTGTCATTCACAAGGGTTCTGACTCTTCTGCAAAACCTTCCCAAGGGGACCGTGTCTGATTGTGCAGGTAGCAAATCCCCACCGCTTCTGCTCTGTGGCTAGTCTGTGTAATTCTGAGAACAGAAGCCCAGGTGTGGGAGCTGTGCAGACGAGTTTTTTGACTGTGCCACAGGGCAGAGAGTTAGGACCCGGGTTCTGGGTGCTGAGTTAGGGTCAAAGGAGGCAGCATGGGAGTGTGGAAGCCCCTTCAGAGACTGGCCTGAGGTTTTCTTTGCAGATTTCACGTAGGCCTCCCTTGTGCGTGTCGAGCAGTGTGTGCTTGTTTGTGTGTGTGCATTGTGGGGAGTGTCTAGGGCACATTATACAAATCAACCAAAGCCACCTTCCTTTTCACCTGTGCTAAGCTGGACCTAAGCCTCAGCGCTGGCCTCTGGACCCAAAGTTATCTTCCTGTGGATTGGAAAGAGGAATTTGCATTATCTCTAGCTTTACCAGCCTGTGCTTTCATTAGCCATATTCTTTCCAAATACTTTGTTTATATTTCAAGCTGTCTGTGCTGCATTGGTTCCATGATGGGACTTATATTTGAAAATAACAGAAATTTTTGACTTTTTTGTGGTTTCAAAAAATTGCTTTAAAAATTTGAACGATAATAACCAGCTAGACCATGTGATTGAAAAACGAGTATGTAACCTCACGGTAAAAACAAAAGAAGTATTGTCAAAGTGAAATGCCAGAGATATCAACTTTCAAACTTAGTACTTAAGGAAGTGAAAGGAAGTTTCATACTTAATAACCTAATACTAGCATACTGAATTTAATAGAATCTGGATGGAGAAAAACTTTTTCTCCATTACACATTAAAATAAACATACGCCAAGATCAGGTATAATTTATTCCTCAGCTAGAAGGATGATTCAACATACGGAAATGAATAAATGTGATATAACACATTCATACAGCGAAGGATAAAAATCAATTATATGATCCATACTGGTCATTAAGGTGGCTGAAAAAGGCACCCACACTCCCCTCCTCCACAAAGAAAGACCAAAAGAGTGAGTAGATAACCACATGTTGATCGGAGTGTGTTAAAAGGGAACACTGACATTCAGCAGGGTAGTGACCCAATGTCACTTTCTCGGAGGCCTGGAGAGATAGGGCTGTGGAGCAGCCGGGCTGGCCAGCATCAGCTTGGAGCATAGAGGAGCTCCCCATTTCACAGAAAGGTAAGTGAGAGATCCCCTGTGGTCCACATTTGCACAGTGAACCCCTGCAGTCTTAGCCATGTGAGAACCTGTTAGCCCGGGTGAATCCTGAGACTAGTCCAGGGAGCTGTGTGGACTCTGTGTGATGGCATGTTCCAGAGGGGGAGTTTGCGCTGGGTCCCATTGACCCCTGACACCCAAGGAGCAGCATCACAGTGCAATTTTCAGAGCCCAATCCCCAGCAGACTACATCCTACTCTAGGGCCCCAGGGCCCCTTCATCTCCACATCTGGAGTCCACTGACATCGCCTCACATCTACCTAGGAGGCTGCAGTGGATTCAAATAGACATTTCTCAAAAGAAGACATACAAATAGCCAATAAATATAGGAAAAAATGCTCAACATCACTAGTGATTCGGGAAATGCAAATCAAAACCACAATGAGATATCATCCCACACCAGTTAGGATTGCTATTATCAGAAAGATAAAAAAAAAAAACAAATGCTGAAGAAGGTGCAGAGAAAAGGAAACTCTTATATACATTGTTGGTGGGAATGTAAACGAGTACAGCCAATTTGGAGAACAGTATGGAAATTTCCTATTAAACTAAAAATAGAGCTACCATATGACCCAGCTATCCCACTACTGGGTATTTATCAAAAGGGAAGGAAATCAGTCAAAGAGATATTTGTTACTCCCATGTTTAAGGAAACAGCTTCCTTTAAATAGTGAAGATACAGAATCTACCTAAGTGTTCATCAACAGATGACTGGGTAAAGAAAATATAGTATACACATGATGGAATACTATTCAGTCATAAAAAGAATGAAATACTGTCACTTGCAGCAACATGGCTGGAACTGGAGTCATTATGTGAAGTCCAATATACGAGTTACAAGAAGACAATTACCAGGTGTAATCACTCATATGTGGGAGCAACAAAGGTAAGGTTGACCTCATGGAGATAGAATAGAGTGCTGGTTACCAGGGGCTGGGGGTGGGAGGAGACCAGGAGAGGTTGTTTAATGGGTACAAACATAAGGTTAGATAGAAAGAATGAGTTCTAATGTTTGATAACACAGTAGGGTGACACTAAATTTAACAATAATTTATTGTATATTTCAAAATAGCTAGAAGACAATATTTCAAATGTTCCAAACACAAAGAAATGTTAAGTGTTTGAGGTGATGTATATCTTAATAATCTTGATTTAACTGTTACACATTGTATGCATGTATCAAAATATCACATGTACCACATAAATTTATAAAATTATTATATATCATTAAAAAAGAAATAAAATCCAAAGGTCATATGATCATCTCAGTAGATGCAGAATAAGCATTTGTCCACATATAACAATTTTTCATGATCACAACTCTAAAGAAACCACAGTGGGGATTAAGTTTCAACATATGAATTTTGAGAAGATGTGGAGCAGAACAAGTACGAGCAAGGTGTCAACAGAGATCAGCCCCTGAGAGGCTTGGAGTCCAGTGAGAAGGGTAGGTCAAGTGGTTTGTTTTTCTCTCCCTCTCTTCTCTAACACTTGGCAGGTTCTCAAGCTGTTTGAGAGACTTTCAGCCCAAAGGAGCCCAGAGGCTGCTGCCATCAGCGAGCTGAGAGCTTCTTGTGGATAGGACACCAGGCTCCCAGTCCCTCAGGGATTCCTCCTGTCTCCACAGACCTGAGCTGGGATGGCAGACACCATATTGTTTCTCTACTCAGCATGTGCCTTTTTCTTCCCACGGGACCTCAGCCCCTCAGGTTCTGTCTTGCTCATTTCCACACAGACATTTCCCAGCTTGAGCCCAGACTTCATGCGCCACAGGGGAGCATTGGGGCCCGGTGATCTGTGAGACTCCAGTGCCTGGACATTCCTGGCAGGCAGCTTCTTGGAGAGAGGAACAGACATGATCAGAGTGCTAGTTTTTCTCCATCCAGATTCTTTTTATCCCTTTCTGTTCCCCCACCTACAGTTGCTGAGACAATTGAGCCGCAACATTGAGGCTTCCACAGAGAGTGGGGCTCAGACCTTTCCTCTGGGGGACTTGTAGTGGACAGATGGGTGCTTGGACTCTGAGCCCCTTGCCTGCTGGCCCTCCTTGGTGCTGCTTTCCCAGAGACTCCATCAAAGCAGGGTATGCCCCAAGGCAGAGGAACATTGAACCTGCTTGTGAACCTTGTGGCCTACTTCGGACCAGTGTGCTTCTCACTGACATGGTCAGGGATTGATCTTCTGGGACCTATTTACCATACCTCCAGGTCTTTATTGTGTTGCTCGGGAGCACAGAGATGAGATTTGTGAATTATGTCAGGAGGCAAGGGTGCCTGCCTGGGCAGATTTTGTGGGAGAGTGCTGTGTGAGTCCTAGCTGTAGTGTGCTTGCGGGGCATTCCTCCCCACACAGGAGGACCATGCTGTCAGCTCAGGCTGGGATCCAGGGCAGGGAACCTCCTGACATGCATGTAGTCCTGGGGAAGCTCTGCTGGCTTGAGCTCCTGCCTGCTGGCAGATGCTGGGGAGAAACTGAAGCAGAGGAGAGTGGAGAGAAGCAAAGCTTGCAATAGCCTGTCAGATTGTGATTCTCAGATGGCTCTGCCTCCACAAGCTGACTTTCTGGCTGGATAGGGCCACTTAGGCCCCACAACCCAACACTTCCTAGCTGCACTCCCCACCTGCTTCAGCTGTGGCAGTGAATAAGAACTCACCTGAAGTTGCAGGGCCCCACCTACCCCCTGGGCATTCAACTGCTTCTACTGAGGGACTAGAGCCAGTCACGGGATCCAAAAACATGGCAGGTTGTTCCTTTTGGCAAGTGCTACTTTCTGACCAGGAGATCTGCTTGCATAGCCCTTGACAACATTTACTGACTCAGTCATACAGGGTGTGGTTGATTCTCACCCACAAGCACCACCTACTGTCTCAGAGATTAAACTGTGCATGGCATTATCTAAACAAAAGAAAATACAAAAATAAGAAGCTACAGCTACTCCAGATGAGAAGGAATCAGTGAAAGAACTTTGGAATTATGAAGAATCAGAATGAAAAGACACCACCAAAAGTGAACACCAGCTCTGTAGCAATGGATACCAATGAAAATCAGATTATTGAAATGAAAGATAAAGAATTCCAAATATGGATTATAAGTAAGCACAACAAAATATAAGAGAAAATGGAGAAACAACACAAAGAAACCACAAAAAATGAATTAAGGAAATGAATGAAAATCCACTAAAGAAATTAAATTATTAAAAAAAATCAGGCCGGGCGTGGTTGCTCACACCTATAATCCTAGCACTCTGGGAGGCCAAGGCATGCAGATTGCTTAAGGTCAGGAGTTTGATACCAGCCTGAGCAAGAGCGAGATCCCGTCTCTAGTATAAATAGAAAGAAATTAATTGGCCAACTAATATATATAGAAAAAATTAGCCAGGCATGGTGGCACATACCTATAGTCCCACCTACTCGGGAAGCTGAGGCAGGAGGATCACTTGAGCCCAGGAGTTTGAGGTTGCTGTGAGCTAGGCTGATGCCATGGCACTTACTCTAGCCTGGGCAACAAAGTGAGACTCTGTCTCAAAAAAAAAAAAAAAATCATATCTGCACCATGTTGGGGATGGACACACTTGAAGCTCTGACTCAGGTGGGGTAAGGGCAATATAAATAATGTAAACATTTGTACCTCTGTGATATGTTGAAATTTAAAAAAATTAAAAAATGAATTAAACTAGAACTACAAAACAGGTATATTAGGGATGACTAATTATACAAATTTTTTCTAACAAGAAAAATTTAAGTAATAAACTTGTGGTTTACATAATATAATTTGATACATAAATAACCTGATTTTTACATCACTTGTCATGAATAAAGCATTTTAATTAGAATAAGGAAAAATCAAATAGAACTTCTGGAAATGAAAAATTTATTTAAGAAAATAAAAACCATGGTGGAAAGTCTTAAGAATAGACTAGACCAGGCAGATGAAACAATCTCAGAGCTTGACGACAACACCTTTGAATTAAGTCAGTGAAAGAGAAAGAATATAGAATTAAGAGGAATGAACAAAGCCTACAAGAAATAGGGAATTATGTAAAGAAGCCAAACGTAAGAAATATAGGCAACCCTGAGTGAGAAGAAGAAAACACACAAGGGTTGGAAAACCTATTTGAAGGAATAATTGAGGAAAATTTGCCTGGTCTTGTTAGACATCTAGATATCCAGGTACAAGAAGGTCAATGAGCTGGGAGATTGCTTGGAAAGAGGCAATCACCACAACACACAGTTATCAGACTGGCAAAAGTTAACACAAAGGAGGAACTTTTGTGAGCCATAAGGCAAAAACATCAGGTAACTTACAAAGGAAAACCCATCAGGCTAACTGAAGACTTCTCAGCTGAATCCTTACAAGCCCAGGAGTATTGGGGCCCCATTCTCAGTCTTCTAAAACAGAATAAAGGTCATCCTAGAATTATTATCCTGCCAAACTAAGTTTCTTATGTGAGGGAGAAATAAAAACTTTTTCAGACAAGCAAACCCTGAGAGCATTTGTCAAGACCAAACCTGTCCTGCAGGAAATCCTCAGATCTGCATTATACATTTGATTAGCACAATACGAACTCTCCAGTGGAAAATCGCCTAAAATCTAAAGCTGAGAGCCCATATAAAATAATGGCTCAAGAGGTAAAACAAAGCAATAAGGGTCTACCCAACAGGATGTACAGAAATGCATCCCACTTATCAATTCTTTCAATACATGTGAATGGCTTGAATTCCTCACTTAATACACACTGGCTGGCTGAATGGATAAAAAAATAGAATCCAAGTATCCTTTGTCATTAGAAAACACATCTAACCCACAAGAATTCATTGAGACTCGGGTGACAGGATGGAAAAAATATGCTATGTAAGTGGAAATGAAAATAAAACAGGTGCAGCCATTCTCACTTCAGATGACATGGAGTTTAAATCCATGATAGTACAGAAAAACAAAGATGGTCATTATATAATTGTAAAGAGAGCAATTCATCAAGAAGACATAACAATCATAAACATTTCTGCACCTAACACAGTTGCACCTAGATTCATAGGCAATCCGTACCAGATCTAAACAAAGTGATACATAGCACTACCATAATTGCCTGAAACTTCAATATCTGACAGAACTAGACAGATTCTCAAAGCATAAAAGAAATAAAGAAACACTGGATTTAAATGGGACTGTAGAGCAAATGGGCCTAACAGACACTTACAGAACATTCCACCCAAAAACTACTGAATATACTTTCTTCTTATCAGCACATGGAACGTTCTTTAAGACTGATCACATCTTAGGCCAGAAAACATGTCTCAACAAATTCAAAAAAATAGAAATTATACTATGTATCTTCTCAGATCATAGTGGAAGAAAAATAGAAATCAACTCCTACAGAAACAATTCTACAGAAAGTCATGGAAACTAAACAACCTACTGCTGAATGATTGTTTGATCAAGGAGGATATTAAGGTGGAAATCAAAATATTTCTTAAACTAAATGACAAAGGGGACATA